AAATTTTGATTAAGATATTATAGCTGAAGATTGTTGAGGTATGTAGCCAGGCTAATCATTCCGTCTAATGGAATATGCTATTTTGGCTATACTATCTTAGACCTTTTTTAACAATAAATTAAATGATAAAAGCAATATTTTGTTTTTCTTTGTAAAATTAAAAATTTTTGAAATGTAAGGAATTTTTAAGCCTAATTTTTAATTAAAAAAGATGATAATTAAATTAATTAAATTATAATTGAAGGCAGATGGACATGCAGTTCAAGAGATTGCTGTAGTTGTGCGAAACTTATATGAAATAACTCGTCATCCAAATGGTTTAGATCAAAATGCGACAATTAATTCGATGAGAAATATTATGCTTGGCAAAATAAGTTTATTTTACAATTGTAATGATGGAAAATTATTGTATTTTTGAAAGTATCATGCCCAACGTGATACAGAGTTGCAAATTTCTCGTTATTGCCAAATCAAACTTGAGTAATTAAACCATTAGGTAAACGAAATAATGTTAGGGTACCACAACCGTTAACAATTACAAAACACAAATTAATGCATGAAGTCAATTTAAAGGCATCACAAAATGAATTTCGAAGAGAAAAATCTGGAGAATAAAAGAAAGAATGAATGTCTGCTGAGTTTATATCTATCAAAGAATGGTTTTACGATTACACGGATTAGCGCCTTCGTTAGCCTTTTGTTAGCGGCTAAAGCATTCCTTGTTAGCAAAGATTGATAAAGTTTGTTTAACGTACATAGTAATAGGGATGTTTGAGTACATTGCTGAACATATATATATATTTCTATGCAATGATAGCGCCCCACTCATACAGATGAGAATTTGGATGATTATGATCTTATCACGACCCAACATGATACATACTAATTAGTACATTACTATACATTAGTACATTACAATATATTCATTTATGATTCTTTATATTGTCCTTTCTCACGGAACTTTGTCACATTTATATGTGACAATTTTTTTTTTTAAAGTGTAATGGGTAAAGTCACGTGTGTGTTCTTCTAAAGCATTTTGCATATTTGTAGTTGTAAATGTGATAAATTTCCCGTTGTTGATTAATTGATAAATGTAATACCGGAAAAGTAAGAAGGTAGTTTTAGGGAGAGGAATTACAGAAATGTCGACAATTAGCATTACAAATTGCAAACCATGGCGCAACCCTGTATGACCTTTTGGGAAAAGAGGTCATTGCAAGGGTAAAACTTGATTTATCAATAAAAAGGCTTATATTCCGGAAGTAAACTAATGGTGATGAACAACGAAAGGAGGATATATTGAAATGTAAAGCGAATTTATTTTTTAAAAAAAATTTTAAAGGAAACTTTCAGAATGAGCGAAACAAGGCGTTATCATTCTCCTTTAATTTATCAGATGGTGAAAAAGCCATTCTACAAGCTGTTCAGATTATACAGGTACCTTATCAATTATCATTTGAAATTATATGAAACTTCTTATCTATGCATCCTTGATTTTCTCAAGATACTAAACAAATAATTATCGAAGAAAACGTAAAAATTATTGTCTTCACAAATTTCTACTTTTACATTCGCATCTTTCACCTTCAAGATTTGATTGCTTCGCATCTTATTCTTTCATCGTCTCTCCTCTAAAATATAAACTTGTCATATCATTGTGACAGTCACACGTAAACACGTAAATGAGCAAAAGAAGAGATGGAACTATTTCTTATTAATGAATGGTTAAAGGTTACATTTGGCTGTAAATAAGCTGAAATGAAAATATATTGGAAATAATCATTAATTTAGACTGAAAAGTTTGCTTAATTAAGGAAGAATTATCCGTAATAAATCACAATTTGCAAAATGTTAGTTCTGATGAGGCGGCATTGGACGCTAAAATTGAACGTCGAAAAAAGGAATATGATCAACAGCAAAAACGCTTGGCTAAATTACAGGTATTCAAATTTTACTTTCATATTTCTACTCCACAAATTCGATAATCAACAACGAATAGATTGAGTATTAATTTGAAATCATTGCCTCATTAATCTTATCAAAACTAAGAATGATTACAGTTGAGAAATAAAAAAAACGACCCAAACTAATACAGTCAGTGTATGTGGTTTTGTTTTTGAACCAAGAAAATTATTTAGGATGAATGAATTTTATTCATTTATTCAAATTAAATTTTAAATTTTAATTATAATTACTTTTCATATAATTAAATTTAAAAATATAAAAAGGATTACATTGCAGTCATTTCGTCCTCAATGTATGGATGAATATGAAAAATATGAAATGAAATTAAAACAATTATATGCCATATATGTATTGAAGTTTAGAAATGTAGCATTTTTACAAGGATTACAGGTATGTTTGATAGTTTAAAAAAAAAACAATTTTATTTTCAATATTTTTCTCTAATAAAAAAAAAAAAACGAATAATTAAAAGCTTTTCACTTTTCTTTTTTTATCATAGAAAAAAAAAGAAAATTATTATTAAATGAAAATTACCTTAGAATGAATTTGATCACGCAGAACAGCAACGTAATGCAGATGCTGAACAGAATATGCGCAATATGGTTGAGCGTATGCGTGCACAAGAATTGATACTTCGTGAAGCACAGTAAGATATTTTTGTTATTAAATTCATCAAATTTATTGTGAAAAGTTGGATGACGAAAATATTTCAAATGATTTTATAATTTTACTAAGATCGATAAAATGAAATTGTCATTGAAGATTGACAAGTATAAATGAATGAAATCTTTCAGGATGGCTGGATTAGATGAAGAAATAAATTCAACGAAACCAAGGGTCAAAGGTCTTTAAAGCATATAATTTCATGCTAATCTGAATTCCTCATTTGTTCAAGAAATATTCAAAATGACATGTGTCACTTTGCTATTATTTTCATTCCGTTTCCTTTTAAGGATCAAAAGTATTTGGTAATATGATTGGAGCAGGAATCAGCGATGATGATAACGATGATGATGATGATGATGATGATGAGGAGGAGAACGATCAGGAAAATGATGTTTTTTATGCGGATGATGATGATGCTGATGATGATGGTGATACCATTCCGTACCGTAATAAGCTGGTTCTCTTTTCAGATTTTTATTCGTTCATCGTTTTATCATCCAATTTTGCTTCTTTTCTTTGAATTCTTTTTAACTAAAAGTTATCATTTTCAAGAAAATTGAAGAAATTTTTCTTAGGATAAATCAAGATCGGAACGGAACAATGAAAATGCTATGAAGTTGGACCTTAGCAGCGAGGATGATTTCTGAATGACCATCTAGATCATTTGACCATTTGATGTTCATCTTGACCATTTGACCATTTGATGTTCATCTTGTCTAATTCTTTAAAAGTGACAAAAATTTGCTGAAAATATCTCATATTGAGGATTGTGAAGATTGTCAGATGATACTGACAATTTTGTCTTGTTTTTGCTTAAAGCAAATTAATAGTTCGGTTTTTATTGAATAAGTTAAAATGTTGGATGGGAAGGAAGCAAGGGATAAAAAAAACTTTCTGTATTAGTAAGGTTTCTTTGCTAGAAATGGACTGAGATAGTAAAAAGGGGCCAAGTAACGGGCCAAGTGCAAAGCTTGACCTAAACAGGTAACTGTGTGTTTAATTTTCTAAACCATTCTAATTGCGTAATTTAACAATTTCGACCAATTTTACACACATTTTTTGTCGGCCACATATAACTTTTGTATGATATTATGGATTTGTTTAACAAGAAATAAATGTATGTATATATACTTGTTTTATGATTGTTAATTTCTTGTAATTAAATTAAAAAGTCTTTCTGTTCCAGTTATATAGGAATTATTCTGGATGTTTCTGGATTTGAATCAAGTCAAGACAATCAGTCAAATATGATTGTATTGGCTGTAACGATTCATCAGAATTCGTAAACAATCACCAAATTAACGTTATCAGATAAGTTAAACGATTTCTCAGTTTATTAGAGAATTCTAAAAAATATCAAATGCGAAAACATCCGGAATAAAAAATTCCAAAATTCTCAAATGTTTAATAAAATTGCTGTTCAGAAACATTAACTGTTATTAGTGTTAATATATGATAATGACGAAAGACAAATTGATAAGGTTAACATTTTAGGATGTTAAATTGTTAAGAAAAGACACAAATATTTTGATTTTAGTAATTCAGTAAATGTGTAAATAAGTGAATTTTCATGGTACCACTGATTTATATAAAAGTGTTTAGAAAATCTAATTAAAGCAAATGACCTTAATTATCCACGAACACTGTTCTTTATAATGTAATAAATCAACATTACAATGACCGGTCTCCTCTCTCATTCTGTTCTTTTTTTTTTCATTATATCCTCTTTTAACGATTATCGCCTTCCCATTAGATGCCCCATATTCTAACTTGTGTTTTAGTCGATTCGATCTGTAAAAGAGATATTCGTCTTTTTGAGATATTCTCTTCAATTTTTTTTGATATCCTTAACCCTTCTCTGAGATGTGACAAGTAGGTGACATAAAGATGACAAACAGAATCTCTCTATGTTTTTGAAATAAATAGAATAAATATATAGCTGAAAGTGTCACCCAAATTGGAAAGAATTTTAAGCACCAATCTCAATCGATTCGTATCTAACTTCAGGCCGTGCCAATAGTGTAGTTGAGTGTTATAGTGAAATGTGGCCCGCACTTATGAGGTTGTCCGTCGGGAATTCGACTGGTAAGGGAAATGGAAGAAATAATTTGGGGTTAGGTAGTAAAAGTCAGGTAGTTGGTTAAGTGAATGTGACCTACAGAAGAATGGAGAAGGAAAATGAGATACTGTCGATAGCTCTATTCGTTTGACATAAATGGAATGTGTACAGGAACGAACTGTTGATGTGATGGGCACTGATGGTTACGGTAACAGTGCAGCGGTTACTTCAGATGGGAATGATTACTTGGATTATCTGAATAAAACCATCAGTAATATTCGTTGTGCTAGCGATTTTAATCGGGTTGCTCGTAAAGTTAGTTTTTTTTTTTTTTGCTGATAAAAGCTCAGTCTGATATATCGATTTGTTGGTGATAGTATCACAGATATTCTTCTCTTCTCTCTGTTATTTCAGTAGTCGTATAAAAAAAAGTGTGGTATATTAGGCCTCAGTACGATATAAGTCAAATTAAACTGAGAAATAATTGTAAGAAAATGGGGACAAAATACAATTCACTATTCTTAGTTACTGAATAGACTAATTATCATCTTAATTCATTGATTTATAGTAATTACTAATGAGTAATTAGATGGATGATGACACGTGATGGTAAGTGAATTACAGATACGAGCAGTATCAGCGTCAGCTGATCGAATTGTCGTGGAGATGGTGGTGGAGGAGGAGCACATTAACAGTAAGAAGACCTTACATGGGGGTCAAACTGCAGCACTGGTGGATATGATAACTGCGCGTGCAGTTGGAATGACTGTACGAGACAAAGTTATGGTTTCTGTCGAACTTGCTGTCAGGTAGTTTCACTTTCATAAAATGCTTCAGATTTCCCCTTATTACATCAACCAATGGACGTTAAGACATAAATGTTAGTGGACAGTTACGCGAGGTTTGTTGCTTACCAGTGTTTTGTTGGACTTTGTTATGCAGGCGAAAGCCTCACCAGTTTTATTTCAAGATCTGTCGAGTTGGTGACAGTATTTCGAAATGTGATGAACCTATATTATCACTGATGCATGCTTCCTTTTTCAGTTACTTGTTACCGGTGAAACTTGGTGAAACGGTCGAGATTGAAGGAAAAGTGTTGAAAATTGGTCGGAATATTGCTTTCACGGAAGCTGAATTTCGCAGAAAAGGCGATAATCGAATAGTTGCCAAAGGAAAACATACCATTGCTTTCATTCCCAAACCACCGGCCACAAACGGTGATCCATTCGAGCAGTTTTAATATCTGCATATTCCAAATGTAAGCAGTTTCCGTTCTTTACCATCTCAAAACTTATTACAACGGTTATATTACCGTCCTCACAAAATTCACGGACATGTTATCTGCCACTTCGGTAGCCGAGGCACATTTTTGCTTTGCGAACAGTTGTTCTAAGTCAAATAGCCTTTGTACGAGTAATGTTGCAAAAGTGAGCTAATTAGATAAAATAGGTCATTTATTCGAGTAAAGCCGGTTCTGGGGTGGTTTATCATGTTCGATAAACTTCCGTTATATTGTTCAGTAGGAAACGGTTCTGCTGTTCAGTAGAAACTAGATTTTTGCATCCGTGTATAAACATTTGTGTCCATGTACAGTAATTTATTACTATCCGTTATGATTGTATGTAGTGGTCGTGTGTACTTGTAACAGTTTCTGGGTGGAAATGCCCGGGAAACACTTCCCACTTTCCTTCCAGGAATTTCGAATTCCCACTGGCTATCGGCGATAAAAATGTTGTTAGCACGGCTGTCCTTGAAAGTTTCACTTTTGACGTCTCAGGATGCTGTACCTGTACCGTGATTCCAGAAGTTCCTGACCCTAGATTTCCCGCAGCTAGATTTTAATAGTACACATCCTCTGAACAAATGAAACAGCGATGTAACGATATCTTCAACCAAACTCATTCAAGGTTGCTTATCAGTCATCCACATATTGATGGCATATTATTTCCCTAGACCTTATAATTTATTCAAACGGTGTGACTATGTTTGAGTAACATTTCAAAAATTGCGATATCAATTTTAGCAACTGTAAGATAATACCAGTAGTTAATTTTTTATTCGGAAATGGATTTAACAAAAGCAACTGTAATGAAGTAACATAGAGCTACATAAACATGGACTACAGGAACACAAACCACCCGAGTAGACCGTCGAATCCCATCTCTCTAATGATTTCCTACTGTAGAGATATCCTGAATCCCAGCACAAGCATTAAGAGGAGTATTTAAGATCCTGATTCAAAAAATTCCCTACTTAATATCGTATTTACAGTTGAAATGAGTTCATTTTACGGGAGAAGTATGGCGACTCGTTAGAAATACAAAAAGAACATATCAATCGCATATTTAAAACCCATGTCAATATTTATTGGTCGAATTTTCCAAGAATATCTGCTTCTCGAAATATGTGGTACTCTTTCTCGTCAACAACAACTTTTGTGCCGCCGTATTCAGGAAGCAAAACATGGTCGCCTGCCTACAACGGAACTGCATTTTGCATCATAAAATTCTAAATAAGGCATAGTAATGCACATTAGCTGCAAACAATTAGTGAACGACTAATCTCGATCGAATCTTCCGATGAGGAAAGATTTACCTGGCTCTCTCAACTATGCTATCTGCTGCATTTAAAACAAGCAGGAACCATTTTTAATCTAGTAAACTGAATATAAATATTAGGGTAACATAACATCTTCATGTGATGAATTCTCTTCAAGCTTAATTTTCTGAAAATAAATAGTGGAAAACCTATTACCCGAACAGTCATTGGGATCAAATTTCCCTTACTATCGCGTCCACCTGGTCCAGTAGAAAGTACCGTTGCTTCCAATACTTTTCCCTGAGCTTTATCCGGAATCATAATACCACCTTTGGTTTTCGTCTCTGCTGCAAACCGCTCCACCAATACTCTATCTGCTAATGGCTTGAATGCTTTTATCAAGTCACCAAGCTGAAAGTACGTCTCTCAAGAAACGGAATTCAGCGTGGACAGTTTATTAACTCTTGCATAATTTTGGAGCCTCCTTCCCCTCGCCAGTTCCGTTTCTATAACGAATCCGTGATAACATTTTTCGTAAAGTAAGAATTGCTACCTGAGGGATGATACCTTTTCTGTGTTGTAAAAAACGGCAATATTATTTAAAATACATTTAACGTTCAACTTTATTTTGCATTGATATAGTTTAGTAACTTAATGATCAATTTTGCATCAAGCAAAAAAAAACTTACAGCTTTCCTTGCTACTGACATCGATGCCATTAAGTCCTCTTTTCTGCAAACAGTAATAACAATTAATGGTAGACACTGACACGAATTACTATATACAGGCAATTAAAATCTACTTTACGTTCAACAAGTCGGCGAGTTACCAATCTTTTGCTTGACGTCTAAGCATAATGAAGAAGGAAAGGAATGTCCAGTCCATTCAACAGGTTAACTTAGAAAGATTACGTAATTGTCCACCACCTTTTCTAACAAGTGCAAGAACAAACGAATACGGAAGACGTTAAATACGTGAAAGCACACGGATCAGCACGCCGGATCACGCGTTCAGAAATTTTCTCATCGTAAACCCAGTTTAAACACATGTATAGCCCTCACATCTCCCCAAATATCCAATGTAACAGTCTCCTCAATCCATTAGGAACTGAAGACAAACGTACAGACATGGAAGACAGACTTTACAAAAAGAGGTGGTGCACCACTGGAACATTCCAGAAGGCTCCCGAACAAACGGAATGTGTATGTGTCTGTATGTGTGAGGATAGGAGAACCTGAAGTGTAAATTACGCATAGGAGAAGTAGAGATAGCGAGAAAAAGAAAAGGAGGAAGGAAAAGAAAGCAAACGGTGAGAGAGTACAGTCTGCAAAAGAAAGACGGCTCGTCCATCTTCACCTTCCAGAACATTCTACGCTGCGCGTCGACTTCAGCAAACCATCCCTTCCCAATGTTACTGCGTGCAACTGTTAAGATATAACCTAAAATTGGCACCGTTCTCTTGTAATGCTCTGGACTGTATGTTCTTTTGGCCATTTTTGCTGATTATCTGAAAGGCCATTCGATTCAACACTATTTCCCCTTGCACCTCTTACCCAGAAGGTACCATTCAAGCAGGTATCACTTCCCATCTTTGCAAGTCACCTGCTTTCCTCATTTCTAATCTTTTGTAATCATTTCTAATCTTTTTCCACTTCCCCTTGCATCTCTTACCCAGAAGGTACCATTCAAGCAGGTATCACTTCCCACCTTTGCAGTCACCTGCTTTCCTCATTTCTAATCTTTTGCTACCACGAGATTCGACTGGGAATTGTTTTAGATTTTACGAGTAGGCCGAAGGTTTTTATCGTATACGTCGGAGGTACACTCCCAAGTGGTGGTTATTTTTTAGACAACTTATTTTGAGATTGAAAAATCATTAAGCTTTAGACAAAGTTGGCATGTATCATACAAAGATGACTGTGAAGAGCATCACTTGAGATGGAATATAACTGTTAGCAGAAGTTTTTATTTGAAGAACAGGAAACGGATTTTTGATCTGATCTGTCTATTGTGTTCTCTTTATTGTTACTTAAGATATATATATTTGAAAACTGGGATGGAGGACAGTTTAAGGGATATTTTCTACCACTACGGGCAAATTACCATTATTTAGTAAGCTTTCCGAGCGTGCACTATGTATATAATAGGCTTTCTATGGTAGGCTTTGTATAGTAGGTTTTCTGTAGTAGGCTTTCTAGATTAGCCTTGAAGTACTCGCCGGATAATGGACTTTTGGAGCAGGTTGATCGGATTTCAAGAGCTAACACTACCGTCGTGATAATTTTTTAGATCGTGCTTTGTTTATATACGATTTTATTCAATGGTTAAATTTTAGGCTTGTTAATCCAGAGTTGAAACGAAAATGTTCCGTATCAGTGGACAATCGATGGCACGGCTTGTTTCACGTACAGTGCGATCAGGTCTAAGACATTACGCCAAGGATGTGAAATTTGGTGCGGACGGGCGCGTTTCAATGTTGTATGGAGTGGATACATTAGCTGATGCAGTTGCGGTCACTATGGGACCAAAGGTTGTTGGGTGTTTTTGATATATTTTCCCGGTTCTTGTTAACTTTTGAACTATGTTAGAATTTATGATAAAATTGTGATTGCTAAAGGGAGTTGGAATTTGATGCTAAATTTGTTAAACAGTCATGGCAAGTTCGTAAAAATTTTCAGGTTTTTTCGTATAGATATTCGTATGCAAAGCTTTCACATAGTGTCATCAGTCTTATATGTCAGTGTTCCAGGGAAGGAATGTCATAATTGAGCAGTCGTGGGGAAGTCCGAAAATCACAAAGGATGGTGTTACTGTGGCGAAAGCAATCGATTTCAAAGATAAATATAAGAATGTGGGAGCGAAATTGGTGCAGGTAAGCAAAAACGCATTCACGAAATTGGTATCACTAAGCCTTGCCATGTAATAGGCGATTAAGCCAGGGGGTTTTAATGGTTAGTAGCAAAAAGTGAGTGGATTAAATTCAAATAAGCAATTAACAAGACTTTGTTTCCTGATGCAATTTTTATCACTTATCTCTATCACTGGATGAGCGGACTTTGTGGGCTGTCTTCGTTACTCGTTAGTGATGTTTATTCTCAGGATGTAGCAAACAAAACCAATGAAGAAGCTGGCGATGGTACCACATGTGCTACAGTTCTAGCGCGAGCAATTGCAAAAGAAGGTTTCGAGAATATCAGCAAAGGAGCTAACCCGGTGGAAGTTCGAAGAGGTAGAATTAGATTTTTCTAAGGGAACATTGACAGTTAACATCTGCTTTACCCTCAAGATATTCGTATTCAACTTTGTACTTTCAAATATAGCTGTTCTCGCCTAATTTCTTCTGAATTGAAGAAAAGAATTTCCAGTCATCTTAATGTAGCGAAGATTTAAATAAGTATTCCTCAGGATATCTTTTTTGCAAAAGAAATCATTTCGCTTCCTGTCTTGAGATACCGAATCATTTTATATATTGACCAAGTTTTGTGATTAGACTTTATTTGGATATGTCTCGCTATTATACAGGAGTAATGAATGCTGTGGAACTTTTGGTTACTGAATTGAAGAAAATGAGCAAAGATGTGACAACCCCGGAAGAAATTGCGCAAGTAGCAACAATCTCAGCAAATGGTGATTCCACTGTAGGGAAACTAATATCGGAAGCGATGAAAAAGGCATTTTTTTGCGTTTTACTTGACTACTTATTTTTTAAAATCTATTTTATACAATAAGGACATCCATCTTCAATATTTCTAAAACATTCTGTACTGTGGAAACATACCTAGGCCATGCCATCAGTACACTGTTTTAAAGTGCTATCCGGTAACAAAACAAATGATTCTGCAGTGTTCAACTGCTTCGCCACTCTTTTTGCCTGTATATGCCGAAAGTTATTAACGTAGGAGGAAGCCTGTAATCAACAATTACAAGTTTCAGGTCGGGAATAAGGGTGTGATCACGGTGAAAGATGGCAAAACACTGCATGATGAATTGGAAACAATCGAAGGGATGAAATTTGATCGTGGATACATTTCTCCTTACTTCATCAACACTACAAAGGGAGCCAAAGTGGAATTCGAGAAATGCCTTCTTTTGTTTTCAGAAAAGAAAATCAGTCAAGTGCAGGTAAATATGGAGACAGTCTATGTGTAACATTAATTTGCAAGCGACTGTGACAAACGAATGTACTTAAGTTTGCGATATTTTCCTGATCATTATGATAGTTCCTCAACCATTTTGGATTCTGTGGAGCCTGAAATAAAAGAACAGCATATTGGCTTCGCTAGCAAGTTCTTGCAGAAAACCGTTGTTACCTAGTCATGGTCGTTTTACACTTTACATTATTTTATCTGTACAACTGTATAGTGACATGTTTAGTCATTAGTTTCCCAACTTGTAGGTGCCGATTTTTGTGCGTTCGTTTTAGGATATCGTACCAGCTCTTGAACTGGCGAACAAATACAGGAAACCAATTGTGATTATCGCGGAGGATGTAGATGGCGAAGCACTTACTACCCTTGTGCTTAATAGGTTAAAGGTAATATTTCGAATTCATGACGCCTCATAAACAAAAAGGGAGTAGAAACTTGAAGTTCCTGTTTCCGTTATTGAATACAAAATGTAATTGTGCGGTTGGACCGACTGTTTACGGTTTTCGGAAGTTTTCTTCCAAATTCCTAATAGAAGTAGCGACTGACTGGCATTTTGACTAGATACCCAATCATCAAACATCACTAAAATGTTCAGTTTTCAGTAAACAGATATGTGCAAAGGGACTAATCCATTCTATGTGAACAGTATTGGTTTATTTTATATATTCCAGGTTGGTCTCCAAGTGGCGGCTGTGAAAGCACCCGGTTTTGGAGATAACAGGAAAAATACACTGAAAGATATGGCGGTGGCCACAGGTGGGACAGTATTTGGAGACGACGCTAATTTGCTGAAAATTGAAGATGTACAAATCAGTGATCTTGGTGAAGCTGAAGAAGTTTCTATCACAAAAGACGATACGCTCATCTTGCGTGGCAAGGTAAAGTAGATATTGCTAGACTTTGAATGTGTCTCCTATCATTTAGAAAGTGAGATGACTGAAATCCCAGTCATCTGGTGAGACGGTTTGAAGGCAGAGATAATTAAAGGGATTGTATATAAATAGGATTGCGGATTTCTGTGAACATTTGTTAGTATAAAGCAATGCTGGCAGTGAAACACGGACTGCACTGAATAACTGAAGCCATTAGCTTAATATACAAAATGTTCGAGACTTCAAAATTAAGTTAAAACTGCAAATCAGTCCAACGGTCTGCAGACACTGATATTTAGTAGTTCAAAACAATTCCTAACAATTTACATCCTACCACTTCATATAGAGATGTTAATGAAAGAGAATAAACATAATATCAAAGGTATGAAGAAGTAAAGCTTTAAATAAGCTTCCGTTCCCTACTGCTTAGAATAAACTGCGCTCTCTCTCTCTCATGACCGACTGAAGTAAAATCAAATTATCTTATATAAAAATAGTCTGAGTAGACCCACCCTTCAATAAAAAAAAATTAGAGTAGACCACCCTTTATAAAATCTTTTCCGCTTTATAAAAAATCAACGTAGCCAGTACAGTGATATCAAAATCTACTTATTCTGTTGGAGTATAAAAACCTTCAGTTTCATTCGGGGAAGATATTATATCGAGATTTCGATTCCAAAAGAATTTAAGATTGTCTTTGCTGTATTGTGGATAAGAATTTCCAAATCAAGATAATTCAAATAAAATGAATTACAAAAATCCCCAAAAAGCTTCTCTCATGTTTGAAATCAAACTATTATCAATTCCTTCAATAGTTTTCGGATTTTTTTTTACCATGTGTTAAGACGTCTAGAAAAAATGATTCCTTATATCAATCGTGATTTTGGGAATCGTTTGCAGGGAAAACCGGACGATGTGGAAAAACGAATTGCAATGATTGAAGATGAGCTGGAGCAAAGCACATCTGAATATGAAAAAGTAAATTTAAATGATTTCTAAAGTTTTTTTTTTCGGATTGTTTAGCAGGGATGATTGTTTGCGTTGTAGGGAGGAAAATTTTCTTTAAAGGATCATTTTAGGAAAAACTGAATGAGCGACTGGCAAAACTATCGAAGGGTGTTGCAGTCCTTAAGGTAGGTGGCGCTAGTGAAGTAGAGGTAAACGAAAAGAAGGATCGCGTTACAGATGCTTTGAATGCCACAAGAGCAGCCGTTGAAGAAGGTATTGTACCAGGTGGCGGTGTTGCACTCCTTCGTGCCATGAAAGCTATCGAAAATATTAAAGGAGAAAATACTGATCAGGACAAAGGTTTCTTTTTTTGTACTCCACTTAATCCATACTACCAAACTGTTTACATTTCCATAAAAGAAATTCACTGCGATCAGTTAAGGTATCCGAATAGTGCAGAAAGCAGTACGGGAACCGATCATGACAATTGTGAGGAATGCCGGTGTTGAACCATCTTCTGTTGTGGAAAAAGTACTCGCTAGCAATGAATTGCCATTCGGATATGATGCCATGAATGATGTTTTTGTGGATATGTTCAAAGCCGGTATTATTGACCCTACAAAGGTCATTCGAACTGCTCTGCAGGTAACTTTTTCTCTTTGTAATACATTTCAATTTTTGTTTTTAGGGCAAAATGGTGCATAGGTTTTTCGTCATCTCAGCTTTTGTTAAGAAATTCTTATAACAATGTTCTCAGCAACGATAGTTAAGAAATGTCAAAGGAGGAATAGGTTTCCGAAACTTCAACTTATCCCAGGATGAATACAAAAATGATTAAACATTAGATTTAGTTCTGAAATGGTCATTCAGCTGTTTAATGGCTGTATGTGGGGGCGTGGAAATTTTCCTGAGCATATTTCGTTCCTTGATCCTTTCGAAGTTATTGTCTGGATATCCGGACTCTATCATTGAATTTTAACAGTAAGGAAGTTGATTTTTAGGACGCGGCTGGTGTTGCATCACTGTTGGCCACAACGGAATGCGTAGTGACGGAGATACCGAAAGAGGAGCCTCAGATGGCAGCTGCTGGAATGGGTGGCGGCATGGGTGGTGGCATGGGAGGAATGTACTGATCTTTGGACGGGTGTTGTTTTTTCAAGTTATACTTCTCATTTTGATGTTTAATTATTACATTATAATATGTTGTTTGTTACAAGCGGACAATGAGTGTTGCAGTAGTGCGTAAGTGTTGGCCAACGTATTTTCTCAGGAACATTCAAAATCCTGAAATGTACTCATATCTTTATTTCCAGAACAGAAACTCACTCATGTAAGTCTGAAAATCAGAAAATTAGTGTCCGATTTCGTTATTTTGTTGATTTGGATAAATCCGTATGATGTTTTTGATGCATACCGATTTTTTTTTTTTATTAGTTAATTTCCTATTGTTGTCTTTTATTACG